TTGTTTTGTTTTGTTTTGTTTTATTTACAAAACAGAGGTTCACAAATGTACAATGCAGCTTGATATGTGAGGGCATTTGGAACACTTAAAAGGAATGAACCAAAATAAGCTTTGAAGACAAATTCTTCCAGCCTTTTTTCATTATTTTAAGGAATTTGCACAACACAAGGTTTTCACTTTGCTCACTGTAACATTCATTTCTATCATTTTCAAATAATGATAATGATATGGGGTCTGATCCAGCTCTGATTAAAGTCAATGGGCGTTTTTCAAAGTCTGCAACAGGTAGAGGCTCAGATTCAGCAACAGATTGTCTTTTTTTGAAAGGCTTTGAAACTTGCTGGCATTACTGTAGAAGCTATTCACTCTTTTCTCATAACTGTTGTGCAAAATCAAGCTTGTGTTTTGAAAATAAAATAAATCACAGCTCAGGAAAATACACAGGGATATAGTTATGTGCCTTGTTAACATGAGGCAAAGAAAAATACAGATTCAAAAAATCTCAACCTTTCTGAATCTAAAATAACATAGTGTCCCGTGAGCATAGCTTATTAACCAAATTATGGATGAGTATCAGACACATTGATAGAGATCATCTCCAGTGGTACGCAAGTAAGACAAATAAGGGCAGGGGGCGTAAGCCATGCAAGGTAGAATCTATCACACTCTGACCACACCATAGCTCATCTTTGTTGCAAAAGCAAGAAATCCTTTTTACCATCTCCGAGTAGATGCAGAGTTTGCTATACCAGCCTGAAAACTCACCATCCTCATACTGTTTCTTGTAATCAGTAACCAGGATTCAGCCTTGTGTATAATAAATAACAAGGAGAACCTTTGTCACTAAATGCAAATAAAAGCTATTCCACATGTGAGATGAAAGAACCAACAAGAATTCAGGCTGTAAGTACTTTATTTATTTCCTATTTTACAAAAAAAAAAAAATATTTTTTGAACTTTATTCTCAAAAAGTGACAGTCCCACATGCATCCTGAAGTATCACTAGACACTGGTGGTTCTGTAACTGTAGTTCAGTCATTTACAACACTGGATTTAAAAAAAACAGTCTAAAACATTTATATAAGGGCTTTGTCTATATCCATTTGTTGTCTCTTTTCTACTATTTCAATCATATGCCCCCTGAAGTAGGGATCATTTTTTCATTCTGTATTTGTGCAGCACCTTACATGATAGTGAGCTGTTTCTTCATTAGATTTCCTAAGCATTACAGTAATACAAATAAATAAAATTAATAAATAAAATAATAATAATAACCAATAATATATTACAATAATAATAATAAATAATAATAATAATAATAAGCGGCCTCCTAGCTACCATAGTATCTTTATGCTCACAACATCACTGTGAACTAAGGAAGTTCTTTTAGGACTATTTTACAGATGGTGAAGCAGAGAGAGACTAAAGGTATGCCAACACTACAACATAAGCCTAAGGGTCAAACTCAAGCTCAAGCCTAACTTCCCCATCCCCTTCCATTTATACATAAATCCTGCTATCCCAGGTCTCAGACTCCAAGCCTCTGGACCCCACAGGAGTGGAAGATCTGAGTCAAGCTGAAACTCAGGGTTCAAGGCCTATTGCTTTGAAGTGTAAATGAAGTTCCACTGGATGTATGCCCTGGAAATCCACCAAAAGTATCCCATAGTCCCATGGCCTGACTTCCTTTTTTGACCTGTGAATAGTCAAGTTTTCCCATATTGCACCACAAGCAAAGGGGTTAGTGTGGACACATTTGAGAAGGGCATTAGGAAGTCTGAGCTGTAGGTGGTTGGACTCAGGCCCAAGTAATGCATCTGGAGCTCCAGGTTAGGACCTCGGATTCAACAATCCCTAATCTGGAGTTGCAAATGAATGTAGGTGCCCAAACTCTAGATTAACAAGACCAGGGATTGCTAACTTAAGTCCTACTAACCATGGGCTTACATAAAGTGGAGATATACCCTGAGTAACTTGCCCAAAGTCACACAGAAAATACCTGGAAGATCAGAAAATTGAAATAAGTCTCCTTACTCTCTGGGCTAGCAACCTTGATGCTTGGACCATCCTTCCACTCAGAATAGAATATTAAGAAAACATACTCTTGGTAAAATTCAGGTACTCGTCCCCAGGGGATGGGTAAGGAAATAAGTCTTTTCCATCAGTAAGTCATTCGGTTCTAGAAAAACTTAAAAAACAACGAATAGTCTTGCAGCACCTTAAAGACTAACAAAACATGTAGATGGTATCATGAGTTTTCATGGGCACAACCCACTTCTTCAGTTGAATGGAGTTATTCATTTCAAGGGCTGTGCCCACGAAAGCTCATGATACCAACTACATATTTGTTAGTCTTTAAGGTGCTGCTAGACTATTCGTTGGTTTTTAAGTTTTTCCAGTTACAGACTAACCCTTCTGAGGGTAAATCTACACTACCGTTTTTCTGGAAAAACAGCCGTTTTTCTGAAAAAACTTCACTTACGTCCACACTGCAATTGCAAAAAAAAAAATTGAAAGAACAGAGATGTTTTTCTGACAATGGTAAACCTCTTTCTACAAGGAAGAAGTCTTTTTCCAAAAGCTCTTTCAAAAGAAGAGGAAAAAGGAAAAAGCACACGTGCCCTGGTGGCCATTCCATCCATACTAATCTCAGCTGAAATACGAGATAGCATCTGTTCAGTGTGGACGCTAACTTTCAAAAAAGCAGTTCACTTTTTCAATGTGCTTTTGCAGTGTGGACACTCTCTTTCAGAAGAAGTTTTTTCAGGAGATCTCTTCCGGAAAAGCTTCTTCTGAAAGAAGTCTGCAGTCTAGACATAGCGATTTGGTTCTGTTACTTTTGATTTTAGACTGAAAGCTCTTTTGGAAAGAATTGTCTCTTATTATGTATTGTACAGTTCTTAGCAGAGTGAGGTCTTGGTCTCACTTGGAGATCTCCTGGTGCTACTATAATAAATATATAAATGATCATGCCATAAGAACTGATAAATTTAATTACATTGAATATAGAAGCATTGTTTTACCAATCAGCATATACACATTCAATGATAGTAGCCACATACAGAAGAATTTCATTCTCTACTCCATCCCCACCTAAGAACTATTGAAGAACTTGAAGGCAGAAGAACTGGTATAGTCTTACTGGATTTTGCAAGAGGATATTAGAAGTATGCTCCAGCTCCTAAGTGCTTGAGAGCCCAGCTCTGCTGAAGGCCTTTTCCCTCTTACCATGTAAACTATCTGTTACTGCTCCCAGGAATTCATTCCTCCTGCTACAAAGAATAACCGAAGCCCAAATGTACCATGGCTTTGGGAGCAGGCTCTGGCCCTGTTTGTATTCTCCCTATTCTAGGTACACAGCATGGATAAACTACATTGAGAATTGCTACATTTTTCAAAGAAAACCCCCATGCTTTCTGCATTCTGTTCTCAACTCAAAAATGGGTCTTTTTCTATGCAAAATGTTAATGTACAGCTACAGGCTGAACCAATATGAATGCAGGTAAAATGTACACTTTGCATCAGAAACGGGCACACATAGCTTTTTCCACATGGTATTGATACAGAAACAACCCTGCCACATATAGTGAAATTCGAGGAGGGCTGATTCACCACATGCTTGTACTTTATGACACCTTTTGAACCAGTCCAAAGTGAGCATCAATGTTACACTGATGCTACAAAGGCCACATCTGAC